TTATCATATTGTCTTCACTCTATTCACTTTGAAACTGCTTAATTAAATGTAGTAACTTTTATATGAATCTAATGTCCCTGACATGACCCTCATCCCAACTTTGCCGAATAATTATTTCCTGAAATTTTTAAGGTGTAAAAATTTAAATTAAAGGTATATATCTGATTCCTTGATTTACAATGATGGACAGGATATACGAGCTCGAGGTTGGTTGACATCATACTCCACCGTTTTTACTACATCCATGATGATATTGTTTCGGCTCTTGAGATCATGATAAAGCTACAGCGTGAAATTTTATTCAGATTTTAAACAAGTAGCAGGTACTTTAGTTTGATTTTAGTTTTATTTGCCTAATTATTAACTTGATTTCACGTTGATTTTCCTTTGTTTTAGTTAGCTTACATTTTTTTTGGATTTTTTTTTTTCTTTTAATAATTGTAGAACTGTTGTGCTATTGATTATTCGGTTGCTATGGATTCTACTTATGCTATTGATTCTACCAATGCTAAAGATTCTACGGCTGTACCTTTGGAATTTAAAATGTACGTGTTTTCTTATTTGCTCATTTTATGTTTTCTTGGTCAGTATAATAGTTATTGTTTTGATAAAACTTGCTCATTTTATGTTTTGTTGCTTACTTATGAAATATCAGGTTTTTGATTTTGTATTGCATATTTGATGAAATGTATGTTCTGTTAGGAGTTGCAATCATTTGTTGAATTAACAATTAAGTATTTGCTTATTTGACAAATGAGTAACTAACTATTTGCTCATTTGCTAAATGAGCAAAAAACTGATTGCTCATTTCCCAAATGATCAAAGAAATGTTTGCTTATTTTACAAATGAGCAACTAAGTATTTGCTCATTTGACAAATGAGCAAACTAATGCTTTTGCTCATTTGTTAAATTAGCAACTAAGTATTTGCTCATTTAACAAATGAACAACTAACTATTTGCTCATTTGCTAAATGAGCAAAAAATTGATTGCTCATTTGACAACTATTCATTAGATAATTTATCAGCCTATACTTCTCTATCATAACATACCTCAGACCCTCCCCTAAAGTATCCTCTTCACTACACCTCCAAAAAAAATCTATGTGATATTTTACTTTTTTTTTAATGATTTTGTATGAGCAAGAACTCTATTGAAAAGGAGTGTGTTGCCGATGTTGGTTCATCAAGGGCTATAGTGGCTGTAAAGTCTGAGAAGCTCATTGCATCTATAAAGTTAGAAAACAAGCAGAAGAGATTCAAATCAGTTGCTACTAAGAGTAAAGGAAAAATAGGGAAGGAGGGCAGATTAGGAGGTCAGGCAATTGTTATAATGTTCTTAGGATTTACATATAGAACAGTATTAGTATTAGTTTTTATGATGTTCTCAATGGCATAAATGTGTCTGTGTTAATCTTGTTCTTATAACCTTTGGTATGTTTTGCAATGGTAAACATTTTCTAAAAGTTGATCATTTTCATTGATATTTGCAAATAATTACAGGTTATATAATTGCAAAACAATTCTTTGCTCATTTATCAAATGAGCAAACTATTTAATGCTTATTTGTCAAATGAGCAAATAATTCTTGCTCATTTTGTCAAAATTTAATATTTATTCTTTACTAATTTGTCAAATGACCAAATAATTTGTCAAAATGAGCAATTAATTTTTTACTCATTTGTCAAATGAGCAATTAATTTTATTCAATTAATTACGGTCAAAATTTCATGTCTGATCTAAATACATTTCGGAGGAAATACTCTTCATATGATACCTAAAACCTACCTCGAATTTTTCAACATCAAATACTACTTCGTGTAAGCTATTTCAATGGATACATTAAAAATACAGCCATTTTAAGTGACTAGTGTTTTCAATCTCATATTAAAGATTAATTTTATCCATTCATACATGCACTTAAAAACAACGGCAACTTTTAGGAATTTGATGCATTTAAGAATAAATCGAAGAGTATAAAAACTACTCGTAATATCTTAAGCAAGTGCACAAGAAGACCCGTTATTCATACTAATGATTTCAATGTAAAATATATAAGTTGGCTCTATTAAGATAAATCGATGAGCTCATACAACTTAATTTGTCAACCGATTTATTGCATGCGTGTGACTAATAGCCCCATCCCGTACACCGAAGCTCAATTCTTGTATTAAGGAATTCATACTACAATATGATGAACCACCATCTTCAACAGCCTTCCTTGCTAATCCTTTCAACTTCTTTGCCCTGCTTCTTATCTCCAAGGCCTTTTCACCCACCATTACTCTTCTTATAGCTTTCTTTACATCTTCCGATTTTACATTCTCCACTATTTTATAGAAGTTCTTAGCTCCAATCGAAACCCCGGTCCTCAAAACCTGAGTCACCAACTTTTCATTGAAAAATTGCTCAGCAAAGACCAGCCAAGTTACCATAGGAACCCCACATGATATGCCTTCTAATGTCGAGTTCCACCCACAATGTGTCACGAATGCTCCTATAGCTCCGTGGTCCAAAATTAGCATTTGAGGTGCCCATCCCCTTATAATCAGTCCTTTTCCTTCCAATCCTTTTTTCAAATTCATTTGGTAACCAATCTTCAATTTTCACCTCCTCATTGTCATTGCATTTCCTCACCACCCATATAAAATCTTGCTCGGAAGCTTCTAGGCCCATCGCAATCTCTTGGAGTTGCAATGTTGAGACTTTGGCTATGCTACCAAAGCAAATGTAAACAACCGAATTAGGCTGCTTCGAATCAAGCCACTTTAAGCACTCACGCTCATCAATTGAGGAATGGTCCCCTTTTGGAACTTAGCTTCTTTTTCGCGGTTACATAGTGACACAGGACCTATATGCCATGCCCTCCTACCCATAACCTTTGTATAATAATTTGCATAATCAGGCTCGAGCTCATAAAAGCTATTCATAATGATTCCATAGCTCCTCTCTTCAGCCTCCATAACACGACCTAGTATTTCCATCCATTCTTCCGTGGTCCTATCTTTTACGTGCCCATTCATAATAGGACTTAGTTGAGATCTTGTAAGTATTATTTCATGAGGAATTTCAGGGATGACGAATTCCTCATCTTCAGATGAGACTAATTTCTGAGGCTCGTATTTCATCATCGCGTGCCCCACACATTGTGCAAAGTAGCTAGTTCCATGAAACACCAACCTTGGCACGTTAAATTTGGCTGCAACATCAGTTGCAAAAGGGTACATCATATCCGCGACTAGGCAATTAGGCTTGTATTTCTCCATGACTTGCTCAAGTGATTCTTGTAGCAAGTCAGTGGCCTTGAAAAATTTGATAAATAATTCATCAGAAGTTATTTGGCCGCAATTCTCTATTCCCTCCGGAATGACACCTTCCTTATATGGAAATGGTACAATTTCAACATCAATTAATGGAAGACCGACATTTTTGTAGGCCCTCGATTGAAGTGCTTTAATAATAGTTGGTGCGTTGAGAGTGGTTGTGATGATGATAGTTTTGACATGGTTGGCTGCAAACAGCTTCGCGATGTCAATGATTGGGAGCATATGACCAGCAGCCATAAGCGGAAAGAGGACTACACGAAGCCTTTGTGGTTCGGCACCCATTATTTATCAAGGAATTTTATCTTAAGCTAAGCTTTGATGGTGTTATTAAGTTTGTGGGATACATATGAACAAGCTAAGTTGGTTACTTATATACCAATTAATCAATTATTTAAAGTGTAAGAAATAATTCGATCTAGTGTATTATTGTATGTCATTCCCTACGTTACTATATTTGTCCACACATTAAGTCATTATTGATATTTGCATGCATGTTCATCTAATGGATGTTTAGTTTAGTGAAATTCCATTTAATTGTCGTTATGTAGTCATTCAATGTTCATAAATGATAATTATGTTTGAATCTAAGAGTTCTGCAGAGTTCTAGCCTTCTAGGTTGATACTCTCTCTAAAAAAGAATACTTACTCCTGTTTTTTTTTTTTTAATACATCACTTTTTTTAATTAATCGTTTCAATTTAAGTGCATTATTTCCTCTTTAAGACATCTCTCTTTTCCTAAAATAAAAAATAAAACAATAAAAAAAAAAAAAAGACAAGTCTTATTTTAATTATATATTTCTCCTCACATGTCCAAACTCCACCTGTTTTTTAATTAATATTATTTATCTCCTATCACATCCTTTACTTTAAAAAAAAAATCTATTTTCTATTTTGTATAATTTTTTATTCTCCAACAAACTCCACTTACACTTTGTATAATTTTTAATTCTCCAACAAACTCCACTTATACAATACTCTATTCATCCCTTATTTAGTGGTCTATTTGGTTTTTTTCACGAGAATTAAGAAAGTTGTAAATTCCTTAAACTAATGATTGGGAGTACAAATATGCAAATGGGGTTAGTGAGAGATATAGAGGGAAAAAAAAAAGTAATTGGTTATCATTGAAGAGAGAGGGAGAGAAAAAAAAAAAAAAAAGTGTTAAAAAATGATGTCAAAAGTACATAAAAAAAATTGATGATAACAAATCAAAAAAAGTGTAATTTTATCAAAATGTACACTTTTTAAATAAAAATAGGCCACTAATTTTGGCTACTCAAAAATAGAATAGAGACCACTAAGGGAAGGAAGAAGTAGTTTATACTCTGTACTATTACAATAGTACTTGAATTATAATTAGAGAGGCATCATAATACTAACACAGTAACACTACATTAATCATGGATTTGATCTATTTTTATTGATTTGTAGAAAGTTCCTTTGTAATATAAATATAGCAAAAATACATATTTTAAGGATGATAGGATATCAAGAGTAAGATCCTGTGGGACGTGAGAGAGTTTCTAGATGGAGAAATGAGACAAATTGTGATGGTTTGTTTTAACCCGTGATACTGCACCGCATGCAATATTGTTTGTGTCGGTAGTTTGTCTCCTACTATCAACTGAACTGGCTTTGTTAGTTTGTTGTAACAAGATGGTCCATAAGAGGTCCCAATAATTAATACGAAGTTGTATGATACGAGTAATATATTACGAGTAATAATGGAGTCTACTAGTTTATGTGTTGGACGAGTTCAGCTCTAGACTGTACTTGAAAGATTGTAATGCAAATAGAATCTTGTACTTTAATGGCTTTTCAATGGTTTAAAACATGATCTAGCAAATATGGAACACCTCGACCAGAGCAGAAGATAGTTACAGTTCAAATAACATCAGAATTACAGGCTAAGATATGATCCTTACAAAGACTAATTTGTTCAGGTGTATAAGGTCGAAGCAAACAATCTAGCACGACACCTACATGGCTAGTTACGAGAACTAAAACACAGACAGGGCCGATGCAGATACGGAAAGCTTAAACATCATGTGATCCCTCAACCAACCAGTACACCACATTGCATATCTAGTTACAAATCGTCAGATTTTACACACTGCACTTACAAACTTCTCTCTCATGCAGCAGGCAACTCAGAATAAACTAGATGAATCTGCCAGAAACGCAATTAAATTTCACACTCATATTCTGTCATATAAGAGAGATGGTAGAAGGCAGAAAATGGAGCTAGAAGGTTCAAACTGAATAAGCTCAATGCAGCAAAGGAGCACAAAGCCTCTATAATTGAAGTTTGACTTTTGGGTAAGCAGACCAGCAACATGAAGGCCATTTTATTAGAGTATGTATGTATCCAAAGGATCATTATCATGTGGCCGTCTAAAAGATATTACAAAATTCTGTACAACATGGCAGTGTTTACAGATTTCAATGACGATCATCTCGAAGTTCAATTTGCAGACAAATAGTTTCTCCCACACCATCAAACAGTGAAGGTTTCCAGATTCCAAGCATCCCACCACTAATCCTCTATGGCCTTATCAGCAACTAGCATCACATTTCATTTATGTAAAATGAGGTTTGTAACATATCATCTTAAGAGATTAGAAGCATATCATGTAACTAATCAAGCTTTAATCATAGCATATGGAAGTAAGGCCTGAATCAGATGATCACGAATTCTTAAAATACCAACTGGGGTCAACAAAGAAAGAAAAACACACTTATAACAAGCAAGCAAACAAACAGGATCACAAAGATAAATGACCTCCACTTACATATATGAAGAATCCATCAATTTTCTCGACAAAGCACCCTCCAACAGAGACGCAAATTACATAACAAAAATTATCGTCCTAAAGACTACAACATTACCCTCGCTTTATTTTCTATGTCAGAAGGATCAATGAGTTACTTTCTCTCATCCTAGCCATCTTTAACAGTATTAGATCTAGCAAATCTCTCCTTTTCTCTGCTTATATCCCTGCTTTTTTATTTAGTATCACTAATTGAAGCAATATCAGTTTTCACAAGCTCTTCATTAATAATTCCAGCTCCTGAATAACCCTTCTTTTTCTCTTCTTCTTCTTCACAGACTGTATGTTTTCAATAACCTCATTACACACATTTGATATTCAAACAAACCAGCATGACCAATACATACATATCCCGCGTTTATAAAACAGTAGTTTCTCCTTTCATATTAGATCCAACAGATTCTTCCTCCTTTTACAGCATTCAATCCTGCTGCCTTCTGCATCACTGATTGCATTGACATGGCTGTCATTTAGACCACCAAAAGTTTTTTAAATGAATTGGACGAAACCTCCCCAACCTTTTTCATTTTTTACTTCTCAATCACCAAAAGTTCAACTTTCTCAGTACTCATGATTAGTTCAAATTCAATAAAACTAGTACCGCCAATAGTATCATCTACATCAGGGAATCCATCATCACCAACAGTATCATCTACACCAGGAAAACCAGCATGTTTATTTTTTCAGTTTTATTTCTCTTTTCTTTTTCTGCACCTGCTCATTGCCAAAGCTCTTATCTTCTCTACCACTAACTGCATGCAAATGGCTACTATGCGGTGTACACCTCAAATATTCTTTACATAACAAACTATCTTCCATATCCTCAATTTCATTCTTCACTCTCTTGTTCTTGATAGACACACCCTTCTCAGTATTATCATGATGATTTTGAAAAAAGAAAATTAACATAAACAACATTACCATTAAGGTTCTTCGTTCCTTTAGATTTTACTTATTTCTTTTTCTTAGCATGAACTTCTCCAACATTCCTCTCCTCGCTTCACCAGCACAATATCACTATCAACCCAAGCATCAGATTTTAAAACACCATTCTCCTAGGGATATGTTATTTACAAAGTAAGCAAAAGCTGGGCAAACTTTTCATTAATCAAAGTACCAAAAATTTAATGAAGCATGCAATATAAACTCGAAAAGACAAGTGCATACGTAGATTCACATACAAGAAACTACAAAAGATTAGCTACAGGCAGCAGGTTGTTTGGTTTTTAAGAGAAGACGTACATTTTCTCAAGTATTCATTGGATGTGTTTAGGGATTTCGCCTTTGTTCAAGAGAGATAACGAGTACTCTGCAGCATCAATGAGGTCAGCAACATTGTGTAGAGACCTCTCTTCAGATCCCAGCATGAAGATAGCACGAACCTCAGCTTTCTTGGCCATTCTTGCTGCAAAGGGCAGCGGTAAGTCTGGAGAATTAAGACTCCGCAATATTTGTCTGTACAAAGATAGAACTCGACCCTTATTCCTCATTAAATCCTCCGTTGTTGCCCATATCAGACCTTTTGCCATTCGATCTGTTGCATCAGTCATATCACAACATCCGAATCAGAAACCCAAGTAACTTATGCAGCAGGCTCATTAACTTATCCATTACACAACCTTCAAATCAAACACCAATTCATATGAAACATATACATACAAGGTTACCAGAATCAAAATTCTACTTTAGATGGGAAGAGTTGTGAAATTGGATCATAGAATTGACCGATCCAACAAACATTGCAAAAATATAAAACTATACTCAACCATGTAAACTGATTACTCATTTTCTATATAAAGCATGAAAAAATTCAATTTTTTAACATCTAAAATCTAACCGATAAAATGGAATTACTAATCAAGAAATATAGAAGAATGGGCGTAATCAAGAAATTCAACTAAAGAATATAAAATGAGCACAATCAAATAATCAGTTTGCAATGAGCATAATTAATTAAATGGAGAAAATCTAGTGAAATCCTCTTGAACCTTGAATGAAAAATCAGATCCGTATCCAGGAATTTGTCCTTATGGATTTGGAATCACTAAACGCATAATGAATCACATATCATACTTTAAATAAATAACTCAGGTGTGCACAATACATGTCCAAATTTTAAAATACATTTTGAGGCGGTTGATCAACTGGAATAGAAATTTGAAGAGGAACAAAGATGAATTTTATGATTTTGACACACGATCTTTCCAAAAATATTCTAAGCGGTCTTTCATCTCCTAATGGATACAACGTCAAAATATACATATTAACATTCATAGTTTCACACCATTACCCATTAATTAAATAACAATTTAAAAACTTCACTCAATAAATTAACATTTACAGTTTCATGTGATTTACCCATCAAGTAATTAACAGTTTTACAATTTCAATCAACTATTTCACAACTTCAAATCCTCAATCAACAAATTTACAACTTTAATCAATAAATTAACAACTTCAATCAACAATGAACAATTTCACAGCTTCAATAACAATCAGGCCCGTCCCTGAGGCAGGGCAGGAGGGGGGCAGCCCTGGGCCCAGGGAAAAGAGCTCTAATTTCATAGTTGAATCCTAACATCAAAGGGTTGTGCAATACATTAGCAACCAAATTTGATTCAATTATCTCATAATTTTAGGGATAGTTGATTCAATTATCTCATAATTTTAGGGATATTTGATTCAATAATCAAATTAGGCTCATAATTTTCTTTTCTTTTGGTTATGATGGTTTCATAATCTTAGAATTTAGAACCAGTAGTTCAGATTTTCGAACCATTAGATTGTGAAATTGAAATGATGATAACAAATATAAACAACTTACCTCAGAAGCTGCTTCAATGGGGGATACAAGAACTAGATTCAATGGAGAATGTCAACTGCGCTTCAATGGAGAACGTTGAGTGCGCAAGATCTGACAGAGAGCAATTCAATGGGTTGGACGCCTTGGAGCCCTATTAAAAGTCATGACCCACCACAATTATTAATGAGTTAGATCCGTCTAATAATCAAGGAAGGTACTAAATGCAGGTATGATTTTACCTAAATGTAGGATAACTTAATTTTTAATGAATTTTATATTTCCAATGTTACCCTTGTTTTAATCTACCCTCTTTCCACCCCATATCTATTTAATCACCCCTAACGTTTTACTTGTACATATTGTTTGGTTCAATATTAGTAAAGGAAAAGAAGAGAAAGAAAGGGAAGGGAAAAAAAAAATTAAGAAAAGGAAGTTGTGTTTTTATTTTCCAATATTTGGTTAATCAAAGGAAATGAAGGGAAAAGAAAGAAAACTTATAAAGGATAACTTTTATTTTTCTCTTTCCAATTGAATTCCTCCGTTTTGGAGAGGAAAGCAAAGCTAAAAATTTGTAATGGAACTTTCCTCCCACTTCCCTTCCTTTCCTTTGAATTCTCATATTACTAATTCAACCAAATATGGGAACATAATTAAAACCCTTTCCTTTCTTTTCTTTTCCATCCAAATCCCTTCCACCAAAAAGGGTCGTAAACAAATCTCAAAGTCTTCTTCAACCATTCATCAGTTCAAACTTTGTAAGGCTTGATGAACGATGATGATGTCATTTTGACGATTTTCTAAGGCACTAACTTTAATATGACTATTGGACAAATTTAACTTCTGTAAAATATTTTTAGAGACCTTCATTTTCAAGACCCTGATAAATTTTGTAGAAAAAAAAAATCAATACCTTCATCCTATTACCGACTATTCCAAGACCTTCAGTTTACTAACGACTATAATTTCCGAGACCTTCATTTTACTATCGGAATGAATTTCAGGGGCCTTTTACTACCTACCCGTTATAATTTCTGGGACCCTTTACTGCCTACAGGTTATAATTTTCGGGGCCCTTCACTGCCTACCGGTTATAATTTCTGGGACCCTTCATTTTTTTTCCGATCGAATTACAACTTCATTGTATTGTATGACAATAAAATCAAATTCATTGTTCAAAACTTCCAACCTTAAAAATACAAAACACCTCTTTGTTGTAAGTTTTCGATTTCCTAATTAGCATAATTGCCAAAATATCAAACTTAAAAAATTCAACAATAGGAAAGCTTTCAAGCTTGTTCCTAAATGTATCATAGGAGATGAAAAAGGGATTCTTAATAGTAATAAGGAGTGGAATTAAGTTGGATTATAAAAAGGGTAATATAGTCTATAACATATCTAAGTTTCATTTTTTAAATCCTGTATTTAGGTTATTTTGTACTACATTTAGCACTTGTGATAATTAAATGGGCTGGGTCTAGGGGTGGGACTTTTCAAACCGAACCGTGAAACCGCCCGTTACCAAACCGAACCATCACGGACCGATCCGTTTATAAACCGAAAACCGAACTGAACCGTTCAATATCAAACCGAAACCGAATTGAACCGCTGAATGTCAACCCGTTACGGACCGTAAACCGATAACAAACCAAACTGCGCAAATCTGAACCGAAACGAAACCGAACCGAATGGTTTATAAACCCGTTAATGACCCGAACCGTTTATAAACCGAAACCGTTTAAACCGAAAAAAAAACCGTTTAAACCGAACCATTTGTAACCCGCTAACCGCTTAAACCGACCCGTTTATGAACTGAAACCGTTTAAACCTCACGTATTAACCGAACCGTTATAATCCGCTAACCGTCTAAACTGAACTGCCATAACCCGTTAAACTGTTAAAATCGAACTGTTTTCGAATCGCAACCTGTTTAAACTGATCCGATTACAAACTGCTTAATTCAAATTGAATTATTTACAACCTAAATGGCTAAATAGTAAATACAATTAATGTTAATAAATGTAGATCTAATCAAACGGCGTAGGTTTATACAAAGGTTTATATCACCTAGATCTAGGCCAACGGCATTATTAATATCGTTTCAGATTACTTATTTATTTTAATTACAAGATATATCATTTGTATCATTTTCATTCCAGTAATGCTAGTCCACCCAAATTATCTTCATTGTTCCTTCATAAAGATATTCATGATCATCCAATAACACTCAAAGCCTCAAAGGTAACATAAGATTGGAGATGTATGAGATTGCGTTACACAAGTGGCATAAGCATTAGAATATTACTGTACTAGTCAATAAGGCGTACAATCATTCACATTATCACTTTATAAAACTTTCTTATACAAGTATTTTGTAAAGGGGAGGACTAAAATGTTTATAATACACATTTTTTTAGCTTTTCTTAAATTAAACCAGATATTAAGTAAAAGAATTTTAATAAATACGGAGGCATCCCAAATCTGTAGCCACAATTATTTCATAACATTACCACAAATCCAGCAGATAAATAGCATTAAAATTAGAGTAATATCAACAAGCAATTAAAAAAAGTCACCATTTTCATTAATTAAAATTCACAATACATATACCAATACATAATGAAACTACTATCAATACTACCCAGATTAGATTTCAGATTTATCAACTGAAACATCATCAAGTTTAGGGTTGCAAAAAATGATACATGATAAGATGAAGGGAGGAGTGAGAATGTGAGTGATTTGGGAGCAGAATCTTGAAGCAGAATCTTGAAGCAGCAGCACAGCACCCAAGAGCAGAGGAAATAGCAGCAACAAGCAGGAACCAGCACACGCAATAACAGATCAGCAACTTATCAGAAGCAAGGAATAATATAAGCAGAAGGGACTCAGCAGGAACTTATTTTTGTTTTTCAAAATTGCTCTCAGATTTACGTTTATCGTATCATCACTGAGCAATGGCTGTTTTAACTTAAAACTTGAAAAATGCTGCCAGCAAGTACATATACATTGAAGTCTCAACATAAATGACAAGGGAAACGATGATTCAAGAAAAATTAAAACAGCAAGCATAAGAAACAGCAGCAACAAAACTTATCATAAATTCCTAACACAAAAGGCAGCAACACAGCACCTCAAGCTGGCAGGAGGCAGGAACCAGCTCATGCAGGCAACAATATAGGCAATAACAACTCAGAGACAACAACCAAAAGGCAAAAGCACTACCAGCAGGTAGCAGCTCATAACAAGCTCAAGCAACTTCAAAATTATAGCTTTTGTTTTTTAAAATTGCTCTCAGATTTACATCACTGAGAAATGGTTGTTTTAACAAAAACTTGAGAAATGCTGCCAGCAAGTACCAAATACATTTAACTATTTAAGTCTCAACATAAATGACAAGGGCAACGATTTTAAAAGTCTTGAAAAATGCTGCCAGCAAGTCTGAAAATAAATGACAAGGGCAACGATTTTTCAAGATAAAATAAACCACAATGAGACACAAATACCAGTTATGCAGATGAAGCACTTTCGGCTTCAATCTCTTTACCAATAAGGAGGACGTCTTCCTCAACATCCGCTTGATAACCACGACACCAATTTTGGGTGGTAACCAATGCCTCAACATTCTTTGGCAAAAGTTTACCCCTATATTTGTTCAAAATACGACCACCCAAACTAAAAGAAGATTCAGAGGCCATCGATTTATTAGGAATGGCCAAAACATCCCTTGCCATATTAGCTAAAATAGGAAGAGAAAAAGCTTGAGATTCCCAGTACTTGAGAACGTCAAAATGTTCCCCTTGAATTAATCGCGAACGAGGTCCATTCAAATATGCCTCAAGATCAGCCAGAGGGCATCTAGTTGAATCATCACATTCGTCATCAACCTCATGCAACTGAAACAGATTTTTTATTAAAAGTTAAATTATGACATTACAAATAAAAATAGAAGACTACCATTAATATTGAGTATATTGTATAACATAAATACCGTGAAAATATTTTGAGATCTCAACGTGCGATTAGAATTTTCAGATTGAGCTGTGTTTGAAGAGGCAGGATTTCTGCAGCTTGTATTAGATGCAGTAGAATAAAATTTATAAAGGTCATAAAAAGCTTCCTTAATCATCATAATCTTTTCGTCGCATGCCTCATCATTATACAACGAGTTCAACATATGTCTCACTCGAAACAACTTATAACGAGGATCAAGAGCAATGGCAACTGAAAGTATCAAACTATAATCCTCCCAATAACTCTCAAACTTCTCAAGCATAACTGCTGCCATGGGTGCAAGTTTAGGGTCTTTAAAGGCTTGAGTAATAGCGTACTCAATTTTTAAAACACTAACAAAATACAAATTAGAAGTGGGATATTCGGTACCAGAAAATAACACAGTTATATCATTAAATGGCTGAAGGAAATCACAAATTTTTTGAATGGTATCCCATTCATCAGCATCAAGTCTATAAGAAAAACCCAAAAACCTACTAGTATATAGAATCAAGGCATCCTTAGCTTCTAAGGCTTTTCGGAGCATTGTATAAGTGGAATTCCAACGAGTCACAACATCGAGACATAACTTACCATTAAAAGCAGAGTCTAACTCAGACAAAGCATTCTCAAATTGAGTTAATCTAGAATCAGAAGCATCAATATATTTAACAACCTCACGCAATTTTTCAACACTTTCATGAACTTCTTTTAAACCTCTTTGAACAATAAGATTTAAAACATGAGCTGAATATCGAACATGAAAGAATTTCCCATTACAAGGAAGAGGAGAGCATTGCATTAATTCTTTTTTCAAATATTCAACCATAACATCCATAGAACGAGCATTATCAACGGTCATTGAAAACGCCTTACCTTGAAGGTTCCACTCTTTAATCAGTTTAAACACAAACTTTCCAACCTCAACACCAGTATGGGGAGGGCCACAATATCTAAAATTTAAAATTTTAGACCTAAGAGACCAACTGTTATCAACATAATGAGCAGTCAAAGTGAGATAGCCTCGGTTAGTACATGCAGTCCACAAGTCACATGTAAAGCTAACTCTACTAGAAACATTAGCCAAAGACTCATGCAACAAGGATTTATATTTATCATGCTCAGCAATAACATACTTTAACATAGTTTTTCTACAAACATGCTGCACCTTAGGATTCAAATATGCATGAAGTTCCCTAAGATATTCATGCTCAACAAT